TTCTAAACCATTATCTGTTCTGAGACGCTTGACTTTATTGCCTGTCTGTTTCTCAATCAAAGTTTTTCATTGCTTGAAAGTCCCAAAAATATCACTCTTGCGTTTCAAAAAATATACCTAAACCTTTCTTGAATAATCGTCAATAAAGGTCAAAAGAAACTGAGCACCACCCTTAGATGGAACCTGAGAAGGACCCCAAAGGTCTGAATGAATATAATCAACTGTATCTTTAGTCCTGTGAATAGTTGTACTGAACTTGACTCTGCACTGTTTCCCAAAGACACAATGCTCACAAAAATCAAGTTTCCCAATTTCCTGTTTGGCAAGCAAACTCTGTTTACACAAGACTTCCATACCCCTCTCACTCATGTGACCCAAACGTATATGCCATAACTAGGTAGTATCTGAATCTGAAATTTTTGAAGAGGACACACCAGCTGCACCAATCACAGTATTATCATGAAGAATATAGAGGTCATTAATCTTTTTACTTTTCATCACAACCAGAGAACCTCTAAAGACTTTCATAACTCCACCTTCAGCAAAAAACCCGCAACCGATGGAATCTAAAGTACCCAAGAAAATCAAATTCTTCTTTAATTCTGGAATATGTCGTACATCTTTCAAAGTTCTCACAACCCCATCTTGTGTGTTAATTCGGATAATACCTATTCCAACAGTCTTGCAAGCAACATTATTTCCCATCAAGACTGAACCACCATTGATTGACTCATAGGTGATAAACCAATCCCTATTAGGGCACATATGATAGGAACAACCTGAATCAAGAATCCATTCATCATTAAAACGTCTATCATAGATTGTAAGCACATTATCTGAACCATCAGATGTATCTTCTGCAACACCAGCAACACTAGAGGAATTGGAAGGATTTGATTTTTTCTGTCCCCCTTTATTTTTCAACTTAAAACAATCACGCTTATAATGACCAATTTTATGACAATAAAAACATTCAACATTATTCTGTTTCTTCCTAGACTGTGATCAATATCCAGCTTTTCATTTTTCTTTATCTGAATTTCTTTCAGCGGATTGACCTCTATTATTATTAGAGGAATTATCATGACGACCATTCACAAATAAACCCTCGACTTAAGTATCACTGATCTTACTATTCAATTTAGTACGCAACTCCTTAGAATTCAAAGAGGATTTCACATCAACTAAAGAGATTGAGTCTCTCCTATACAACATCGAATTAACAAAATTATCAAACAAATCAGGCAACGAGCATAACACAATCAGGGCTTGATCTTCATCCCTAATTTTAATATCAATAGTTTTTAAGTCAATAATAATTTTGTTAAATTCATCAAGATGTTCATTAATGGACGTACCTTCTTTCATCTTGAGTGTGTACAACCGTTGCTTTAGATACAAGCGGTTGACGAGAGACTTCTTCATATATAAATTCTCCAACTTTTTCCATAACCCTTTGGCTTTGTCTTCATCGATAACCTCACGAAAAACTTCATCAGCAAGAGAACTTAAACAACAAAAGTCCATGTTGGACTAAACTCTACTAAAATAATAAAACTAAGATAATCCTAATTAAGGTTAAACTTGTCTATCAAGGACTCCAATGAAAACTCATGTATTCAATTAGAGTCCAAATAAAAAACAATTGACTTGAATACAAGAATTTAATAAAGGTTAGAAGGGGGCCAGCTTCTTGCACACTGTCCTCAACTCCAAAGGGTGTCCCCAACGCCTCATAGAAGATAAGAAGAACAAGGTATAGGACTGAGACTTTTCTACCACTCTCTCTCCTAGGATAAGTTACTTATTTAATCATAACCTATTTTCCACCTTTGTGTTCTCAATCGCAATATAACCTTGCCAATTTGACGTGTTCCTCAATTTTTGCTATTATCATTGAATTCTAAGCATAATAAATATGGGTTTTGTCCAACTTCAACTATGCAAAAAAATAAAGTAGCAAAACAACTCATTATCTTAACACTAAAACAAAAAAAAATCCACACTTACTGGGTGTAATCGCAAAATTGTTGAAGGCTGCTCTATTAAACTACAAAAAACACATTCTTATTCAAATCATGAATTATGTTTATCTGATTTTATGACAAAATACCCATAATATAGAGTGAAGTAGGCAATATTCATCAAATTATCACAATCCAAGAGACAACAACTAAGCTTAAAAATAAAGATGTGTTCAAGTCGTTCCAATCTCACAGACAGAAATGATTACTTAAGCAGTTGCCCAAGCAAATTCCAAGCCTGCATTGAGATATGAGAAACCCGAAAAAGTTCTATAATAGAAAACATAAACAAATTCTAAAACGTTTAGAGAATTATATAGTAGTAAGGAAAGAAAATGCAATAAAGAAGTAAATTCGAATACAGAGGAGAGAAAAGGAACAGGAAGATAAACCGACCATAAGCAAAGACAAATTAGAGAGATTTACGTGAGAGATCTACCATGGGACATAGAGAGAATAGTGTCTTAGGCGTTGCCGGAGTTTTGCCATCACTAGAGCTAGGAGCCACACAAAAGAGTGAGAGAAAGTGAGTGATGTCTATTATGTATAATTAACGTATGCATTGAAGAGCGAAGGCTGTTGACCTCCGTGAACAGAGTAATGTACACGTGCAGAATGTGTGAGGATGGGATATAAGTGGTGTTGATTATTTTATTAAGGTTGTTTTAGTCGATCAAAATTTTTTTAATTTTAATTGACATTTTAAAGTAGTATAGATTATTGAAAGTTAGTTAAAGTAGTTAATTAAAATAGAAGCGTGGTTGGAGTGAATTTTAAAAAATAATTAACTAAAATAAAAAAATTAATATTTAAATATATTTTGAATAACGATTTTGTTGAGTATGGTTAGAGATGCTTTTAGATATACAAGTCAATCTTCCTTACATGGTAATTTATAGCTTCTTGGAACAAACATCTGATTGGTTAGGGGTGTAACTTGAACAGGTCAACTTGAACCCCAAATATCTAATATTTGGGTGTGAGATAATAATTCAGTTATCGGATTGGTTTTGGGGAAAAAAATAAAACTCAATTTAAGTATTTGAATTGAGGTCTTGATTTGTTAGGACGAAATCCAAACCGAACATAGTAAATTAGGGGTGTGTGTGCTTATGTGTATATTTGTGTGTGTGTATATACATCTGAGAAAGTAGGGTCAGGGCTCTAACAGATTTCTGATTGCAGACTCTTTGTCTCTCACTCATCGCTGCACCTCTCATCCCAGCTATTCGAGCGTCTCTTCCCTCTTTCTTCAGATTCAAACTCTATTCTTTAGCTTCTCTTATCTTTCATCTCAGTCTAGCTTTTCAAGTAGAGTTGTTGCTCTCTCTCTCTCTCTCTCTCTCCATGCAAATCTGATTCTCTAAAACCTAATCCATTTGGGGTAATTCCTCTCACTTCAAGCCATGAAATGATCAGTCAGCAAAAACCCACAAATTTAAACTAGTTCTTGATTTAATTCATTGATTTGAAACTTATGAGCAAACCCACATGCAGAATCTAGCAATCTTTGCTTGTGAAAGTTAATTTCTGTTGTTCATCAAAGACTATGGTTAGTACCTGCATGTGGGTTTAATTATATGAGATTTAATGAGGTGAGCTAGCTTTTGGTTCTTGTTTTTTAGGATATTTTAACTAAATGTGAATTTTGTGCCCTTAGGCTTTTTAATCTGGTGAGGTTGCTCTTTGATAATGTGAACTTGGGATCTTATCTGTATAAATGCTTATCTTTCATGAATTTGTTGAGGTATTACTTGAAATTCGTGGATTGGGGTTGAAATTTGTCATTGGTAGCATAATTGGGCAACCTGAGAGTTGGACCCGAATTTCAGCTTGAGTTTTGTAATCTGGCTTCCACCCGAGTCCTCCAATCCAAGCACTAGCGCTGCTCGGATTAAATCTCTAGTTGAATAGGGTTCGGGTTGAGGGTTTTATAACTTGTGTTTTGGTTGGGTTGCCCTCTCAATCTATCGAACTTGTCTGAGTTGCATCCTTACTTATTGTTCTTATTTGTTGTCACTCGTTCTAGTTTTTTCAATCAATCAAGCTATAAAGATGTGAAGATTAGATTCTGATGATGACAATTAGGCAAAGAGTGCTTGTGACACAAACATAAGGTACCCATTACACTATGTCAATTAGTTCAATCAAATGAAAGGTGATACAAAGAGAATAAAATCAAATTAGTGGAGAATGGCATAGATAAATATTCTTCAGCGTAAAGAATATTCCAATTTTTTGAACCCCAGTTGAATATCACACAGTGTGAGGTTAGTGATTTTGATCAATTTAACAATAAGGATCCTAGTGCACGAGGTCCTTGCTTAAAGTAGGGTTTGGAAGACTTATTTGGCTGGCAATTTACTATCATTTTGGTGAGTTAAATTCCGGATTTGAATTTTGAACTTAGGCGAATAAATGTTTGTTATCATTCCAAGTTCCATGTCACAATTTGAAAGTAGGAGGATGTGACATGATACTTTCGCAAAACAAACATAGCACATTGTAAATGGCTGATTCGTTAATCAAAATAAAGCAAGAGAGAAAAAAGAGAGTAATTGAAAAGTGAAAAAAAAATAAAACAAATTGGGAAGGTGCATAAGGAGAACATGGATAAACAGATTCTTTGATTTATTTGACTCACAGTATGATACATTTCAAATTTTAAAGACGATAAAAAAGACTGACTAAGGGTAAAAGGCTTCATCGAGGGGTTCGACAAACAGGGGGTTCGACAGAGATGAGTGGTTGGCAACTTTACTACTCTTTTGTTGAGGTTGATTCTTGGACTCGAATTCATATCACCTTGCTCCCAAAGTTAATAAACGTCTCGGAAAACAAAAGTTAACAAAAACAGTTACAGTGATTCAGTTGACTTGAGAAACATGGATTTCAACTTGTATTGATGCACAAAAAGCTACATATTTACATACAGTTCCATGAGGTGAAACGAGAGAGAGAGATTGTGCTTCTCTATCATGGCTCCTGTGGTAGACAACTCTTTACTGGTCCATCAATGCCATCACCACCAACCTTAACGCAGGATTTGGTGGTGTTAACTACTGGCAATTCATTGGATTGGCCATTCTCACTGGTTATGGAGTTCATGGAACTTGGCTGATCTTTGCTTTTTCCCCACACCACTGAGTACAGACCGATGACAATGATGATGGCTCCAATTAAACTGAGATCAACATTAACAATCATGAGATTTATGAGCAAGTTTAACACCAATTAAATCTTGAGCAATCTGTACAACAAAACTTAGCAATCTTTTTTAGATTAAGATGACAGCAACCCATAAATGAAATGATTAATTGATACAAAAAATAAATGGGTCGGATTAGGATTAAACATATATAACTAGAGTTTGATATGATAAATCTTTTCTTAATTGGTCTTATAAGACGAGAACGTCCAATTTGTATTTTAATATGATTCAATTCTTGATCTAATCTTGTGGTTTCTAGTTCACAATTTTATACTTAGGTGACATTAAATCGAAATATCAGGATCCGAACATTACATGACGCAACTCGATTGCATACTAAATATCTGCTGCATGATACACAAACTGAGACTTATGGTAGATGAGTTTGAGAGAGAGAGAGAGGAAGTGAAAGTACAATAATACCTTCCGAGGTGAACTTGCTCGGACAAAAATAAGGCCCCTAGAATGGCCGTGATGATCATGCTGAGAGGGCTGAACGCAGTTACAAACACTGGACCTCGAGCCTTGTTCACCATACTTTGTAAATAGTATGCAATTCCAGAGCAAACTATCCCCTAAACACAGGAAAAAAACATGTTCATCAAGTTAGACACATGGACAATCGAGACCAGACCACTTTTTCTTCAAAATTATATACATATATTATCAGGAAAATATAATATCATTTTGTCCTTCAATGCTCTTTCATTATAATTAGGTTTGGATCTCGAGTTACATAAGCAATCTCTTTGCGGCCGGGGGGGGGGGGGGGGGTAAGACTCTGTTCTCCTAAGTTTCATCACCAAGGAAATGGTGGACAAATAACTGTATGGTCAAGTGGATTCAAATCCTTTCCAATACATTATTGTCCGATAAGAGATTACTCATTATATATTCAAATGGATCCCACTATATATAATTGGGTCTTTCAGCAATACGCGTGGGTGAGATAGAGAGTATTTAGGGAGTGTATTCGGGGGCGATCCAAATCTATTCTAAACTTTTTTGGCTAGAAATTGACATCAAGGAATAATTGTACCTTTTACGTGCTAAATATCTATGATAATTATATGAAAATGAATGCTAGTGAAAATCAATTTATGATTTGTTTTGTTGATCTAATCAATCGTTGTCGTTAAATTAACAATAAATCCCAATATTAGTTGAGACTTAATTTCAATTCAATGATTGTGATGGATTAACTCAATAAATTAAATACCAATAGTAGTTTTGTCATATGAAATGTTACTTACAGAATAGACTGCAGCAAGAAGCCTGAAGTCGAAACCAACTACCCAAGCACTCATGTCTCTTTCCATGACAAGTGCCACTGCTCCACCTTCAACCATGCCAAACAAGCATATCAAAGCTGTGAGAGAGAGCTCTGCAGGGTACTCCTTCAAGGTAATTGACTGAGCCAAAATTACACCCACATTATTCAAATTCAATCATGTTTCAGTGATAGATTTACAGCTAATCAACTTTGTTTATTGTAAAACTAAAACAAGGGTAAATTTTAATTTCCTAAAAGGAATCCTTAAATAGTTATAGATGATGCAGGTTAAGGCAAATTGAAAGTTTAACAAGTCTAATCTTTTGTGTTTATTTTTTTGGGTGAATTACACTTCAGCTACGGCCTTGAGCTCAATTTGCCCCTCGACTATTGAATTTCTGACATTGCCCACTTAATTATTTGACTAAGTTTCACATTTCCCCAAAACGGCCATGTTTTGAGTGTTAGGTGTGGAACTACATAGTAAAATATGCATCTTTAATGTCTACAGTTAGGGCAATTTCAAGTCAATAATCGTAAATATGATAGCTTAAGGGGCAAAGTGAAACCAGTGAGTATACTTTGAGGTATAATGTGATAAACATAATAGTCAAGAGAACAATGTGAGACAGAAGATATAAGTTGAGAGGTAAAAGCATAATTTAATTTCTTTTTTTAGACCAATTAAAAAGATCTAATTTGGAGACCTAATTTAATACTGTCATTAGATTAGTTATAAATTTTAATGTTAAATTGAGTCCATTTTAATTTAATAATCACCAAATTAAGTTCAAATAACATTTTTCACTTAAAAATAAAACTCTAAAAAAGTTTTAAACATATTAAGAATTTGATCAAGTGTAGATATAACTGTACCCGAATTCCGATGCAAACAAATTTTCATCTTTTTTCTCTTTTTAGTTGTTCGAGTTAAAGTAATGATATGCATAGCCCAAATTAAGTCCAAAATTTTTTTTCATTTAAAAATAAAGCACTGAAAAGTTTTAAATATGTTAAGAATTCGAGTCATATAATCCGCCGTCATACAAGAAACAACAGTACGTTTAACCCTACCAGGATTTCGCAATAACATGCAAACAAATTCCCATCGTTTTTTCTTTTTCGTTGTTGGAGTTAAAGTAAAGGTGAAAAATGTTTGAAAGAGACGTATGTGCATAGGCAGTTGAGAACTCACTTGCAGTATGAAGAAACAAGACCAACCACAAACACAGGAAAGGAGCATTATTGTCCCGGTGGTCCAGTGCTGACCAGAAGAGCTACTGCTGTGTTTATGGTGGCTTCCTCCTCCTCCCCCTTCTGAGAATAACATATCAACAATTGGACCTTTGTACAAAGTCATCACCATTGCTCCGGTGACTGTAATGACTGTTCCGACCACCTTTGCTACATTGTGTATCTGCTTCATTTTAACTCTCTCCAACCTAATCACATCGAATGGACATAAATATATATATAGCAGATATGTAATGAAAAATGCCAAGCATCACACCCTCCCCCACCAAGAATCGAAACTTTGTTTAATTAGATGCTTATATAGTTTCTTTTTAATATACTATTAAAGGGGTAGCTAGCCCCAATCAAGTAAATGGGCTTTGATGCTTGGCTAAAAACTGGAAACGTTTGTGAAATATCTCCGGAATAATTTGGAAAATGGAGAAAATTTTGAAATTTGTTTCTGAATTTTTTTGAAACATTAGTCAAAACATATCGAAAATACCTTGACATGCCTCAAAACATCGGAATTTTATTAAAACACCTCGAATCATATGACTTTCGATATTGAAGTACCAATTCTATAGAAACCAAAATGCTTCGATCCATTCCGTGGAAACACAAACGAAAAATTGATCCTTGAAACCTATAGATACATATATGAAATGGGTAAATACTATACAACTCAAATGCATATCATCTCGTCAAAAAATGGATTCCATCAATTTTTTCAGTATGATCCATTCTTCTAACACTCAAGTGATAATATGCATTTATGTTGTACTTTTTAGATTTTATTTGAATTATGTAGCATTTTTTTAATGAAATATATGTTTTCCTTTCCGGCAAGAAAAATGGTTCCCTTGTAGCTAGTCAAGCCTGTTTCTATGTGGACCATTATATTAGTGGATCTCATTGAGTCCTACTATTTCGTGATTGTGATTGTGCCAAATAAATATATAAGTAAATTGAATAGAATTAAATTATTATTTCCTTAAAACTCCAGCCCTGCCTATCTATTGATTTCCATATAATTTTTAACCATCAAAACTAAATTTATTTCATAGCAACAAAGCAAGTCATCTGGTGAAAGGCCTGCCACATAATGCAGTGACCTCAATAACCACAATTTGTGGCCAATACACACACACACACACACTCTTACACTTTATAAGAGCTACAGAAAAATTTTCTTATCTAAAACAAGTGGGGTTATATTAGTGATTCTCACTAAACCCTACTATGTCGTGATTGTGATTGTGATTGTACCTCAAAATAACTGCTATTATAAATGTAATGGCAGGGAGGACATTGACTGTGGCAGATGCAAATGTTGCTGATGTGTACTTCATTCCCACGTAGTATAAGTTTTGATCGATTACGGGCCTGGCAATCCAATCATCAAATACACAAATACAATACTCATTAGTATCTAGTGGTTCTCTGGTTTTTCAACAAGTCACAAAAAAATCATTTTGTTTATCTTTTGAGATTTGAATTATATTGTACTTTATTACATAGATGATTGGATAAAAATAAAAAAAATATGTAGGCTCCTCGATGTGATTAAAATCGGATGTTATTTTTGATAATATTGTCGTTCGTTGAATAAAGTGTTTGATTTTGATGCTAAGTGCACTTTAGTAATTCTAATTCTATTCTCAACCCAACCAATTTAATGGCCCAGGTAGGTTTCACCTTTCAATAAACCATGCACATGGGGTTATTGCCAATGCTGAAGTTTCGCCATGGAAACTGTTCTCACTGTGTAAAGCAGATATGAGGAATATCTTTTAGTAGATGATTCCTCATGTTTGCTTTCAGGCACACTAGTTTGTGCTATGAGAATTCAGCAAATGGACATATTTGTTCTTTATATTTGCTTTCTGATGCACTATCTTTTGTTCCATGAATCTTGTGCAAATGGACATATTTGTTCTAACGATTTAAAAAACTCATGTAAATGTATAAGTTGTATAATGGGTGTTCGGAAAGTTTATGTCTTTATTAGAGCTTGTCTCATATCGATATAATATATAAACTTTGTCAGCATTTTACTAATTGTCAATTAGTTTCGAGTTTAATGTCCTAACATTATCTTAAAGTTTGATTTCAGTAGGTTTTGGAAAACTCTTTTTATTCCAATTCAATCAGTTCCTCCTTTATTCATGCCATTATTGTCTGTGACGTGTAAAAATATTGAGCAGAAAACCATATAGGGGACTGATAAAGCATATACACTTGCCCCACTTAACAATAAAAAACATGAAACACAAGCATGCTACCTTATAGTGTAAAGCAAGCCAGGATTCATCACCATGTTTTTTAAAAATACACACTATTATCTTTTAGTATGGTTCACAATCGGTAGTACTATGAATCTTAAACAAATGGACATATTTATTCTTCATATTTGCTTTCATGCACTCTTTTGTGCCATGTTTCTTAAACATGTGGACATGTTTGTCCTAATGATTAAGAAAATTCATAAATGTGTAAGTTGTGTAATGGGTGTTGGAAAGTTTTCAGGTCTTTATTAGAGTTTTTTTTCTCCCGAAGGTAAATGGAAAGCTGGTTGTGAATCGGATGTTCTAACATAATATCATAGTAAATTTCAGAAAATTTTGGTTAAGTTCTTCCAATTCCTCCTTTATTCACATTGTTATATTGCCACTGTTGTTTTAGATCTTTTATCTGTATCTTTATATACGAATAAGAGTTACAGCTACGAGAAAGTGTTAACTGTTAAAGCTTGACTCACATCAATGTAATATATAACACATCCCATACTGATATATTATGTTCTTATAATTGACAAATATAACATAAAAAGTTTTGTAAGAAGAAATGAATTTCCCAGTTGGTTTTCGTTTCAAAAAAGAGGATGGTCGGGTTGCCGTTGTACTCCGTAGTTTGTATACAAAAAAATAAAATAAATTCTTGAGGGTATAAGAGCATTACTCTAGTAAGCCGAGCAGCATTATTTTCAGGAAGATTGAGATTGTCATCTTTGGCCTGATCTTCCTGCAAAACAAGAGACAAACAATTGTCTGCTTCAATATATATACCTCAAAATATGAATACGAGAGAGAGAGAGAGAAGACAAAATAGACTGACCTTTCAAGAAGAAGTGCAAATGGAGCCATGGCTAGTGTGGCAACTGCATGGCGGTACACTACCAGTACCCAAGAAGACATGCCACGATTCAAAGAAACCATGGCGATTATATACATCCCTGCATACCCAAATTGGAGGGAGACCATAGCCAAGTAAGGTTTCAATCTGGTGAGTACTAGGCCAAATGCCCCACATAGCTTCTGGTCTCCCATCTCTCTCTCTCTCTCTCTCTCTCTCTCTCTCTCTCGCCCTGGTTGAGTAAACTGAAATGAGTAATGCCCTTTTATACACAAAGAAAGCAAACCTAAAGAGAAACAGCACTGTCGGTCTTCTTTAGATTCCCTTATCCGTTAACAAAAGTATATCACATTGGTGAATCGACAATAATTCTTCTATTCATTATAGAATCCAATAAAATATAGAAGAGTATTTTGTGGCTCTCTCTAAGGGTAGCTGTTTCTTTCTTTGCCATGTTTTGTTAGGAAGTGGGATTGAAATTATTGACCACCAAATGGTGTTAGGGTTTTAATGCTATATGATGCATGCAGGTTGTGTGGCGATTCTGATAAGTTGGTGGTATGAAGAGTGGACACTTCTCTAGAAAATGTCTATAGGACCTCGTTAATTTGAAAGATATATTTGTTAAAACTTACAATTCAAAAGTATGTGGCTGTAGATAGAGAGACTCGTAAAACTTGTATTTTAGTTTGGAAAACATTATTATATTGATATGAGATGAACTCTAGCAATATTTATTAATTAAAGAGTAATGCTATTGAGACCTAATTTGATAACCTAATTCACTATAACCTTTGGATTGACTGTGGACTCCATCAAACATTGAAACTTAGTATTAATCCAATGATTTCAATGAAATCACGTCATTAGGTTAACAAATTATGTTAGATTTTTAGGTCTATATAGTATTTTCCTTAATTAAAACTCCGCGTTACTTACTTCAATCACAAAAATGTTTGAAGTGACATGTCCCATTACACATCATAATTTCAAACTTTATACAGTGTATTTTTCAAAATTTTAAACTTCGAGAGAAATCATAGATCATGTTGCTTTCAAAGTTTTGGAGTTGTAACGATTCACAAACAAATATTCATGTACATAATCGTGCTTAACTTTTGAGCATTCACAAGTTTGGGCGTATCTACTAACTCGAAGGCGCAAAGAATATATAAAGTATGCTCTTTATGCCATCTTTTGCTTACCACTCTCTCTGCCTCTCTCACTCACATCGTGCAAATACACGCGCAAGTTTCATTTGCTTGTTTAATCTTAATGTCGTAGCAAAACAACTCTCTTTCATTAAAAGTGTTATTTGTTGAATTAGCTGCTATTCCATAATCAAAATAATTATGCCTTATTTTATTCAAACTTGTGAATCACGGATCGATCGATATTCCAAGTGGCTCTTTACAAGCATTAGAGCACTTGGGAGACAGTGTCAAGTGAAGGCAAAGTTGGTGCATTCATGCAAGGATTCCATTGGAAATTGGTGGATTGAGCAGCAGAAGAATTAAATTGGTGAGCTTCCTTCCATTATCCTACAGGCAATCTAATCAGCAAATTAGGTGGCCAGGCCATGCCACCGGACTATATCCTTAATGATTTCTCATAAGAGCATCACCCATACTTGAGGAAGAACCAAAAGAAAACTGTTTATGAGAAGAGAAAAGGGTGTGAGTGGTTTCTGTCTTTTCTCCCAAAATTGAATCCTTTTTTTTTTCTCTCTCAAGTCCTGTAATGTCAAACATAATTTTTGTCATTGGTCTGAACTCAATTCTTTATCAAACTCAAAATACATGCCATATGACAAGTAGATGTATAAAGTCAAATGAACTGTCTAATATTCTTGGGACATACACCGGGTTAAAAGGTTCGGTTTACTCTCCCCAGTTACAAGTTCTCCCTGTTTCAATTCCAATTCCAATTCTGACTTTTATTTCCTTTTTTAGCTTTAGTTGCAATTTTGTTTTAATTTATTTCCATTTTTCGTTCCGAAAGTCCGACTCTTCAAAATAGGAGTAAGACTGTTGGGAAAATTATTGGCGTATAATTAAACACCACAAAAATTAATGTTACGTTTACTAAACAATGAAGTGACGCTTATTTAATCGATGATTTCCTTGTAAAATTTTGGGGACCGGAGTATCTTACGGCATTTTCATAAATGCTAGTAATTATTATTTCTGAGCAATTGATTTTGGTGTTTTAAATAAACGCCGGTAATGATAATTGATATATTTTTTTCAATAAAAAATCCTAGCTCATTGCATTTTCACTAGAATGGAAATTTTAAATATCCAGGGAATCCACACCATATGAAAAATGGATAGTCAAGCTGCTAACAATATCTTATATGACCAAAGAATGTAAAATGGATCAAAAGAATATTACAAGAAGCAAAGGGAAAGCCAAATCCCAATTTACATCACATTCTAATGGCTTTAATCCTTCAAAATTCCTAACTGTCAATAGCATTACAATGAGGAGACAAACCCATAAGCACCTCAAGAATCTCAACAAGCTCAGCCTCCATCCAGCTTCCCCAAAACATCCCAGAGCAACAGCAGCGGGAACATCAGCACGGTAAAAACAGCAAGGCATTCACCTAATATTAGAGGCATCAGGCAACAGTCAACCTTTGTCATCAAAAACCTTCTCCTTCTTAATCCTTGCAACAGGTAAACCCCTCTAGTCCTGCATAAGTAACATTTTCACAGCACTAGGAAGCATTACTGAATTTAAAAATTCTGAAGAACAGCCATTTAGTTGTACAAAAAAAATTTCCAACCAATTTTGTGACAAAATTGCAACAAGATTAGCATTTAATCATCAAAGTAGAATTCTCCAGCTACTCCATCTGAATTACTTGTTCGGGATAACCTAAATTAATGACAAGCAGCAAAATTAATTAAGAGCATGAGCATTAGATAAAAGTGCATATGAACATTAGATACAAAAATGCTCCTACTGCATCAAATGAATCAAGGCAATAGACAGTGCAAATCATTCGATATTGCACTCTTCCATGCCACCCCCAAACATCTTACTTTAATTCTCTCTTAATAACCTCCCACAAAGATGATATATGAGCATTTTCTGCATTTCAATTTAAAGACCATCATTTCAACCATCTAAAATATTCTACCAGTTCAAATTATTTACCATTTAGATACATACATTTATTAGTTATCCACCAATGTCAATAAGAACCAATGCCAAAAAAATTAATATACAAGAGGTTCTTGAAAACGTACTCCATGGTTATCAACACGCTTCAATTTCACTCTCTTTTGTCAATTAACCTACATTTAATATAACAAAAAACCCAACAAGCACCAAAAATCCATCAAACTCATTCAACAAGATCAATAACAGTCAACAAACTCATGTAATATTTGAGCTACTATTCCATTTGTTGACTCACTTGACCAGATGAAGATGCTCTAAAATGACTCAAAAGTCTGTGTCTCGTACTGCCGGACTTCTTGACTCACTCTTCATCGATGATCGATGAGAGTTTATATTATGAGTACTAGATACATCAGGTACTTTTTAAAATTGCAAATACTTAATAACCTTGGAGAAAAATAATACAATAATACAATTACTTTTCAAACTCAAAATATAAGTCGCTGAAGGTTTTATAACCCTTTCAACCAGAAGTGGATTGTGTTTCTGTAGGCTGGTTCTAGAATAGGCACACCCATTGCGCACATTTGAATAAAAAAAACCTCTAACTGTCTTTGCTAAGCCTCAAACTTAGCTTGCATTTGACTTATTTGCTTCTCCATTTGTGCTTGCTGAGCCTCCTTCTCTAATTGCTTAGCCGTTATCTCTGCCTTATGTCTATTCAATTACCCATCTAGTTGGGACTGCATTGCTTGCATCTCTTCTGATTTTTTAAGTCCAAACACATCACTCGGAGATGGTCCAAAACCATATGTTCTAACACGTTCAAGTTGCTCTGGTCCCATGACTTGAATGAAAACTTTATCGACTGCAGATGAAGATTGCATGGAAGACTCTGGTATTTGTGACACAAGTTCATCCATGCGTGACTATAGCAAAAAATAATTTAAAATATATATGACACATAGGCAAAATAAGAATGGATAAATAGTGAATATCTTTCCTACCAATATCACATACCAAGGCTTGTGCAACAGTTTTATTAACTGGTCGACCATCTTTCTTTGAGTATGCAACCTTAAAAAATTGAATACGATTCATTTTATTCCTATTATTCTTTTTCTTTTCCTACGGTTAAAATAGACACAATAAATAAACTTGAATAAAAGCCTTTTATAAAACACACTTGTTTTCTACACAAACCCTTTCCATAATACCTGCAAAACTTGTTCGGCCAGTGGTGTGATGAAATTTCTTCTTGCTCCGAATGAGTTTGTTCCTCTCACTTTTTTCCTATTACATGCAAAAGCAATTATCATAAAATTTGAAGAAAACAGAACAATGACTTCTTTACAATTGACAAGATTTAAACAT